ATTAAAGCATTTTAGCTCTATATAATCTGGTATTGAAGTTGCTTGTACAGTTCACCATCATATCATTTTGTAGAGGGTGAAAAATTACGTTGATCTGCCGTAGTAGGTTTCAAATTGAATATTCGACTGAAAAAAACACCAGGAGTACACTAATCGCTCTAAACTGACAAAAATGCTATATATCCCTTGATAAGTTTGCCTGAAAATAATTTTTTGTTTTACTCAAGTAAAAGCAAAAAGATATATTGAACTATCTCTATTGAATTAAAAAATAGTTATTAATATTGATATCGAAAAAATTACGTTGATTTTTTAATGTTTTATGTTTATCAAATCATTCACAGTAACTTCGATATGTTGTATTGTCGAAGTTATAACTTCGACTTGTTATTTTCTCCTGATTTCTATTCTATTTTTTTTAATGTTAATAACCATGGAAAAAAAACGAAATATAGATGGCATTCTTATGGTTCACTAAAAGTGTAAAAATGAATATTGCGAATACATCTTGAGCGATTTCCATTGCTTCTCTACATTAGTACACCACGCTGTTTGAGTTATTAGTTTTTATTTTAGTTTTCCACTAACTTAAAAAACCTAAAAAGTTTGGAATTCATCACTGTTGTTTTCAATATGTTAGAGAAATAAACCACTATATAGATATCGATTTCCGATCAGTACAATTTTGTTTAATGACACTACCTTTAAATGATATTTTAGATGCAATTAGTATTTTATTATATACAAAGGAAATGGATGATAACTCTTCAGGGTATTTTTATTGGTGAATTTATTCGCTCAAATGAAAATGATTTCGTTCACAAACATAATAGAAATCTGTTGATAGCTGTAGACCTCTATCAGCAGTGTGAAAGTTTTACACATAACAGATAATTGAAATGCATTATAACCAGGGTTAACCCAATGGGTTACCCGACGGGTTGGATTGACCTGCTCAACCCAACCCAATGACCCATTCGCTGAATTAAAAATAAAAATTGGGTTGAAACTCACCCATTGCTCTATCTGCTGCGGTAGGGTCAACCCTCGGGTTGGGAAAAGTGATTTTTTCGGCATCTCTGGAATAAACACAAGTTGGAGGTGATATGTCAAATATTAATCCATGAAAGGCGAGTGAAGATGGATAGAATTTTAAATATTGTAAATTGATAAACATAGTAAAGNGATCACCATTTGTTCAAACTCCTAAGCATGGATTCCATTATTTGAACGAGACGCAATATACATGTTGTTATCCAGATAGTCATCCATCGTCTATGCATCCACTTCTATGTGAACATCGAATATAGTACTACTAATAATAGCATGAAAATATGCTGTTTTAGAAAAAAAACAATGCATGTGGGATAGAAACAGTCTTTAGTATTTATATCAACTGAAACCGAGAAATTTGTCGATTATATTAGATCATCAGTTTAACTATAAAACTAGCATTAATCGAAAAGTAGACAATACACTCCTGCAGGTCAATCTTGCCCTACCCTACCCTGCCCTGTAGGGCAGGGTAGGGTAGGGTACAAAGCTCGTAGCGCAGGGCAGGGCTAGGGTGCAAAGCTCGTAGGGCAGTGCAGGGTAAGATTACAAAAAAAAACATTTAGGGTATAAGTAGGGTGTAGCTCATACAAATAAAAATTTTATAGAGCAGAACTTAAATTATATTTCTGACATCTTTTTGATCAAAAACAGTGTAAAGAGGAGGGCGTGGAAAAATTCAAATTTTAACCAGTTTTCAGTAAAAATCTGACATCTGACATCTGATTTCCGAAGATAAAAACCAGATATCTACATTGGAATGCGACCTTCACAGTTAAAAGATAGTAACGTTCAGTTATTTACCTCCGAATGCTGATTTTAAAATACCAGAAAAATGTAAGATACAAGATATTTACTTGCTTCTAGTTTTAAAATTTTTAAAAGTCATTCAATAATCATTATCTACCTGTAGTTTTAAATATCGAACAGATATCAGATACCAGACATTTACTTCCATCTACAGCTTAAAACTCTCAAAAGTCATTCAATAATCAATATCTACCTGTAGTTATAAATCTCAAGCAGATATCAGATATTTGTTTCCTATGATTTTTAAATGATAGTAGATTACAGATATCAAATAGTTGGTCCCCACAATGCTTTGAAATTGTTTTTGCAACTACCCAGGTGAATCAATCCGATATCGGATCCTATCGGATTCTATAGGGTCCTACCATCCGACGAAATCCCCTTGGATTCCTGGTTGAGGATTCAATGTCGGATCCGACAGTCGTATTTACAATGATATCCGATTGTCGGAACCAATAAAATCCGAAGTATTCCGGTTCCGATTGACGGTTACTGTCGGATTTTATTAGTCTCCGATATTAGGATCCGATATCGATTCCGGAACCAGAAATCCGACGATAATCCGATAGTTTCGTTGCGCCTTCCGAAGAGCTCCGTCGGATTCCAATAGGAATCGATCGGAACTCATCGGATCCTAGGCTAGGATTCATTCTCCTGGGTATTTGATGGTTGTTTTCTAATTCTAGCTTGGAATCTATAAGATTCCCAATATCAGATGTCTAGTACATATTATTCAATTGATTATTCGAAATATTTTAGATTTTAGATAGGTCAAATTTTTCTGCTTCAGCATTACCAACGAGTATACGAGAAAGAAATCAATTATATGAAATACACAATTTGTTTTATTTTGTGAATGAAAAAATATCTATAAACAATGAACAGAATGTCTAGTCTATTTTAGCTTATTTTATCTAAATTGTATTCTATATGTACTAATGTTTTTGTCGATGTGTTGGTTACACGCTAATCACGACCATTCTATTATATATTATTTCTTGTTTCTTTATTCTATTTTTCCGTGTTGTAGCTGGATGATAATTTGTTTTTGCCATTAAGTTTTGAATTTTTAAAAGATATTCTCTTTTAATAAAAGTTAATAATAAATATATCAATATTTTTAATTTGAAACTATCTCACGCGGAAAGTTAACTTGTATGTTAAAAGGAGTAAAGATAGGCAATGAGATTAGAATATGTTAACGCTTGGTTATAAAGTTAGCAGGTTTGACATCGAATGCCAAACATATCGGTCTATTTGTTGTACTTCAAAGTCATCAAAACATTTATTGAACAACTTTTAATTGAAGTTCAGTGTCAACGATCTCAAGCACTTCATGTAGCACCCACAAGAATTGAGATGGGATTTCAATGTAAAACACTTCTATAGGATCGTGCCCAGGGGCGGCGGAGCGTCATTAAGCTAGGTGAGGCTCATAAATTTTTTTTCTATCGTGGAATTTTATGTGAGCATCAATCAGAAAATAAGTCTTCTTTTTATTGAACTTCAGAAAAAATAAAAATGGTCAGTATAAAAAAAAAGATTTGAAGATACCAAAAAATACTTTTCTTTGCTGCTTCTTTGATGCAAGAATAAAAAATAGCAATATTCAGTACAAAAACAAGTGAGGCTGAGCCTCATCTTGCGAAATCTAGGTGAGGCTCAAGCCTCATCGGTCTCAGTGGCTCCGCCGCCAGTGATCGTGCCAACATAATTGTTGAGGTTGATGTACACGTTTTACGAAGTGCTTTCGAAACATGAATATTCGGCTAAAAACAAAAATAATAGATGCGATGACTTCGTGAAAAATTAATGCATATCATATTTTCACAGAAACATGTATTGGAAACGATACATTGATCGACCTTGTCACTTATTTTGATATTTTATATAGCGATGTTATTCATCATTGATTAAATTCGTATCTTTTTCTCATTTGTGAAATTGCATGATCACGATGAAACAGTACGAAAGCACTATCTATTTTATAGTCGCGAATTGTGAATGATAAAGTTTATTCCAAAATTTATATATGAATAACAGCACGGCGTAGCTTCATTTCTACAATATACATTGGACTTATCTTTTGTATGAGACTTTAAAAAGCATTTAGTATTGATTTTAATAGACATTATCTGCTCCTTATGACATAAAAGACAAATGGAAATGCATCTCTTATTGTAGATCACGCAGTGCATTTTATTTGTTTTCTTTATAATTCTACGTC